ATGAATGATCCACATGAAGTTATAATTCAAATATTTTAGTCAAGTGAAGTAGAAATTTGGATACTCAGAACGAGTGATAGGTAGCAAATATCTGAATAGCTCTTAGTAGAATTCTGTTGGATTACGTTTAGAGCTCGAATAAAAGATTCATATTGATTATCTAGTTGCTGAACATATGGTAGATGAATAAATCATAGCAAGAAACTACTCGTATATTTTAATGAGTAAGACCCGATGATATGAAATAAATCAGAACATTGACGAACATATGGTAGATGAATAGATCATAATAAGAAACTAGTTATTTATTTTGATAAGCTAGAGACAACAGTGTGGATTTAATTAGAACACCAACAGATATACAATAGAAGAATCATTTATATCACGAAATTATTCAAGTATAGTTTTAGATTCGAAGTAAAGACTGAAGTTGATTCTAGTATTGATGAATACAGAGCAAACAAATAAGTCTAACAAAATCGCTCTTCGAATACTTTGTGATGATCAGTTAGGACCAGTGACTTGATGCCAACTTAGCATACGCCACATGACAAGTGAACGACTCCAAAAACGTTTTCGAATATTATGTGCCTTCTAGCAAAATGCACAGATGGACTTATAATTCACAAGTGCATGTAAAAAGAATGATTCAATGTACGATTCTATCCACATATTTTTCTCTCTCAAAAAGAAGAATATTGAATTATCAAAAAGATTATCAGACGGTCAGTCAATAAATATTTTATATCAATACTTCATTCCAATATTTTATGAAAATCTAAGCAAAGGCTTTGAGTTGATTAGATAAATGGGAATGCACAAGAAGTGATTGTTTGAAAGGATTAATTTTATATTCGAATATTTTCCTCAAATGCACAATACTATATAAATTTAGTAAGATCATAAAAACAAGTGGAAAATGATAAAAGTCTACGATGATTCTATTCAAATATCCCACTGATTGTGGTAGAAAACTTAGTTCCATCGTGCGATCTATAAAACTCTACGATAACTGACTTTATGCAACAAAACATTGGTTCAAATACACTTGTGAATTCAAAACAAAACTTTAAACAGATAATATAAAAGATCTAAACACAATGGATGAATAGCTAACAGTACGATCCTGTTCAACTACACTGCTCGTGCATATTCAACTATGACCAGGTCAAACATAAAACACTTATGCACCACGGAAGAATAGCTAGCAGCAGCACGACCCTGTTCAACTACAGTGCTTGCGAATACTCAACTTGGATCAGGTCTAACATAAAAGATCTAAACACAACGGATGAATAGCCAAGACGAACACGATTCTGTTCAACTACACTGTTTACGCATATTCAGCTTGGATCAGACCTAACATAAATGATGATAGCATCATTAATAATAACGCTAATATCGAAGAATCCGTTCAACTACACTGCTTGCGTATATTTAACTTTCATCAGTTCTAATATAAATGAAGATGACATCGTTAATAGTAATTCCCACCTTCAAGATTCAATTCTAATACTGCGCTTCGGAATGCTAGTACGTTGACACATGTTTGAGTTGCAAAAGTGACAAAGATTTTGATCTACAATTGCCATTACCATAAAGCAACTTATAACCAAGATGGTAAATACCATATAAACCATGAGCTTGACCATTTTAGAATTGATTAAACGCGGTTGAGTATAATAAATAATAGGTAATGGTGAATGATATTATTGTGCAGTTATGCTTCGGCTATATATATGCTGAGCGTCAAGGAAGGAGGTACTTAGTAAAAATAATTTTTTTTGATGCGCAGACTATGTGACGCAAACTGGTTTATTTTTAACAGTAAGAAAAACAGATCTAAGCTTATATTTAGAAAGAGATACGTAATTATCTTTTGTTTTCATATATGCGCATGCGCATAACGTCATCGCCAAGTGTATTTTTTCGTTCGCACAGGACGAAAGGTAGTCATCTTTTGTTTACATAGATATATTTTTAAAGCGTCCTCATTGCACTGTACTTTTTTATCCGTTAAGCAATATGTATAATTATCCTTTGTTTTCATCAACGTGTCTAAATAACGTGATCATAGGAGAGTAAAATCATATATTTCTCTTCAATATTTTTGAGTAGAAAAGTGACGTATTTTGCTTAGTCATTATTTGCTTGATTCGCACTCGATAATATCTTTAATATGTACATTTATCATCTAGCGTTACAATAAAAAAAGAAACTGATAAATTACAGATATAAGAATATCCAAATGGTGATATAACGTATGTTAAGTAATAAACTTATTTTAAAACCTTATCGTTCTATAAGACTTATAAAGCATTATAATTTGATATAGTAAAAATATTTGATTATTTCTTTACGAATATTTGTGAACAGGGTATTTGTGATGAAGAATTTTAATTCGGCAATAGTCCTCGTCCAATGATATATGAGTACTTTTCAGTATAAATTGAATAATGTTGCGTCAAAAAATCACATATTCATCTACTCATATATACATCGTTCTACTTCCAATTGAATGATGATAAAAATCAAAGTTTATATCTATTGTTATGATGTTGTAAGCGGCTGTAAAGAGAACTGAATGATTTTTTCAAAATCGAATACTGATGACACCTATATTTAGTAACATGATTGAGAAGGTTTAGGACGAATACAATGGTAATTAGACAAGGTTGAAAGAGTAAAGTATAAAAACCTCAATCAAAAATAAAATAAATAAATAAGAAAAAGCTTTATTTTAACTGATTTAAAAATAATTATTAGTTCAAGACAATATAATATTTATTATTACATATTTAGTCATTTAAATAACAGAACCATGAAGATTTTAATCAACTAAGATATTGTGAGTATGATGAGAGTATCAACATGTTCTTGCTGATGACTTAGTGTTAACGATCTTTTTTCATCTCGTTCTTTTTTGTGAAATAATTTGAATAAAATTAAGAATCATCTCCTACAGGATGGCATGACATTATTTTCTAGTAGTTCGTTAAGAGATAACAATGATATTTATTTAGAGTTTCTTTTAACTTATGAAAGGAAAACATTGAAATCATTTTGAGTGAATATAGAAAATATAACAGATAACAATGAAAGAAGAAGATATATTTGTTATTCTCAGACATTAAGAAAGTCATTAATACTACATTCGTGTTGTTCAAGAACAAGTCGACGAACATTGACTTGAATGATCAACATAAAATTTCTGCAAATAAATAAATAAAAACAAAGTATTAAGCCTATTTAATAGTCAAAGTCTTACTCAAACTTCTTCAGCTCCCTCTTTTATAATAAAATAATGTAGCATTATGTCCCAAAAATAAAAATCTCAATTCTTTACAGCGTATATATTCAAGTGCTTGATGTTGAACATTTTCATCATCAAAACGATTAAATGCAATTGATAACCGATCACGTTAAAGGTGAAATTAAAAGATGATTAAGTCTATCATAAGTAAAATATCGTTGTTTATTAGAATTATGACTAATTTAAATTTTTTTAATGTATTTTGGTTTTTTGCTTTATCAACAGTCAAATCAATTGTAGAACGAATATTTGAATTAATCCATTACTAACTTAAATTAGTACTAATGAATAATTTTCACCACAAGATATGCGACATATTTAAGATAATCGTTCAGTTATAGATGATGCATATACTTTGAAACCAGCTGAAAGAACATGAAGCTACTTTGAGAAAAAATATTAGAAATATTTAATAAATCTGTTATCGTTTACTTCAGGCAGATATGTTCAAGATAATTTTTTTCATTCATTTTTAATTGATTGAAATAAGTATGAAGTTTCATGAAAGTAATAAGAAATGCATAGATAGTAGATAAACATGGCATTAATTTTTCTTGTTGTAGTGGATAATTAAGAATTCTCGTTTCATTCCTATATTTTTAGTATTAATAAATTAAATAAAATATACCCATTTGTATTTTGTCCTTGAAACCAAATAGCTAAATAACATATATCAATAGTAATTGATTGAGTAAGAGTAATCAAAAAGACGAACATCACATCCGCGTATTATTTATTGAAGATAATTTTATATTTCAAATGAACTAATTTCGACCTGATAATGGTCCATGCATTTTTAAATCTCGAATTTGTACTAAAAACATCTATAAACCACAAGCATGATCACAATCAGGTATATATAATTGAACCATAAGAAGAACATAATTAACTATTTTATCTAATGAACCTAGCCAAATTTTGGTCGATGTCAATATCGGTGTATTTATTATAAATGAATCAGTTGTACGATCGAATACAGCTTCGGTTTCTAATCATCTTATGTCTGAGCATAGGTTGCAATAATATTGATGTATGCATATAGAATCAAAAAATAGTAACTAACAAAAATAAATGATAAATGTGTGCGTTCTTCAACATGAAATGTAACTGAATATTTTTTGTATCATTTATTTGATAACGTGGTTTTATATGATAGTGCTCAACGATGATTCTATCATAAATACATCGATTGTAAATATTTGAAACAAACGAAAATAATGTAAAAAAGGAATAAGTATAAGACAAAAGAACCATGTGCGTATGATGAACGAGAATAACCCTCTGTTTTATCACCTTTCCTCGTAGATAAAATCGATTCAATGACTCATAGTATATTGTTAGTTATAACACTTTGTTCTGTATAATTAACAATAAATTCCACTATACTTGCAGGAAACAAAATGCTGTTTTAAGGCAGCAGTATCTAGCGCCCTCTATTGAGAATTCTAAGAAATAGAATATTATTTTTATTGTAATAATAAATTTTCACAATGATTTTTAGTAAAAAAATTCAATAACTATTATTAAAAATTCGATTATTTATTAAATATGGTTGAAATATTATCCAATAATAATAATTTGGTCACTAGCCAGTTAATTTTTTTAGTTGTATTATTATACAATAATAATCATCATCTAGTTCCTTTTTCTATATCAATTAATGTTCTGTTTTTTAGATTAATTAAAAATGGTAGCTGGTTCTGCTGACGCTCATTCAGCTGGTGGACATCACGCAGCACATGGTAGCACTGGAAAAGCAGGAACTATCTATCCAGATCGTGCTCCTAATTCATGTGAATTTCGTGTTCCTGGTAAAATAAATTTATAATTGTTTATTTCAATATCGAATATTAATCGATTATTTTTTAGATTGGCGTTCACAAAAAGTCAATGGAATACCTGAATTAGAAAGTCATCGTTCAAAATTATCAAATAAAGGACTTCGTGATCCTTGGATTCGAAATCAAGTATGGTTATATGATCCAAAAGTTGGTGCTTATCCACAATGGCGTGTTAGTTTGCGTACAGCTTTCTTTGGTTTTCGTTATGCAATGGTTGCTTTAGCTACATGTCTTATAACAGAAAAACTTCTTGAAAAAGCTTTTCCACCATTTCATGGACATATTCATTTATACAATCCGAATAAACCGCATTCACATGATGATCATCATGCTGATCAAGATCATCATCAACATCATTAAAAACTTTCCTTTACTTATGACCTTACCATTCTTTTTTCGTCTGTAGATTTTTGAAAAAGAAAACATCCATTTTGATCCTTTTATCTTGTTCATTTGTTTATTTTCTATAACATTTATTTCCTCGAGAGAATAATTGCATTGATAATTATATTAGAGAAAAACAATAATAATGATCATTTTCTTCTTACTCGATTAATATTCAATAATAATTAACTTTGAGAAATATAAAAGATATTCACTCGAATACAAAGTCATTTCTTAGCATATTTTACACCAAAGAATGATTCATAGTTGATCAATATTTTACAGTCATATGTGACACAAAATAAAATAGTTTCCTTCATTTTTTTTACCAGCAAAAATTATGTCAAATAATTTATATACACATTATTCGACTTCGGCTCGTTCTGAGATGCGTATAATTTTCTTTTTATATGACGTCAACTGAGTAATGAAAAGAAAATAGTCTTCACCTATTTTCTGTTCTTCTTTCAAAAAGTTATCGCCATACAAAGTTAGGCACAAAAAAACGTGTTTGCTTTTGCAAGGTGAAGCAAGAAACAAAGAACTTCAATTTTCGTTTTTCATTTTACACTTTACACCAACAAAAACAAAACAGAACATGCAGACTATTAAATGCGTTATAGTTGGTGACGGAACTGTTGGTAAGATGAGGAAAAAAAGAAGAAATTCTTTATGTTCAATTTAATAAATAGGTAAAACATGTATGTTAATCACATATGCAACAAATAAATTTCCAACTGAATATGTTCCAACAGTAAGCTTTAAATAATATTTTTTTGTGAATTTATTATGAGAATTAATCTAAGGTATTTGATAACTATGCAGTTACAATAACTATTGATGGTCAACCAAATACTTTAGGTTTATTTGATACAGCTGGTAAAATGATTTGTTTTTTTAATCATTGAATTATTTATTTCGTTATGAATTAGGTCAAGAAGAATTCGATCGTCTTCGCCCATTGAGTTATCAATCGACCGATATATTTTTAGTATGTTTTAGTGTTATTTCACAATCATCATATGAAAATGTGCGAGAAAAAGTAAGTAAAATGAGTATTACGGAAATTACATAAGATAATTTTCTTTTATGTGTATATAGTGGGCACCTGAAGTATCACACTATTGTCCAAAAACACCATTTTTACTTGTTGGAACTCAAGTTGATCTACGAGATGATCCAGCAGCTCTTGCTAAATTACAAAAAACAAATGAAAAACCATATACACAAAAACAAGGTGAAAAACTCGCTCAAGCTATTAAAGCTGTTAAATATGTTGAATGTAGTGCACTTACACAAGTAAAATTTCATTTTCTTAATTAAAATAATTTGATAAATTTTCATTCGATAGCATGGATTAAAAAATGTTTTCGATGAAGCGATATTAACAACACTTAAAAATAAGAAACAACGTCACATTCCTAAAGAACGTAAATGCATACTTCTGTGATAAATACGATAAATAAACACTGAGTTTCTCCTTTTTTGTCTTTGTCGGTTTTTTGTTTATATTTGATTATTAAAAATTAACAGAATAATAAACCCGATTGTATAACGCTCTAAGCAATATAGATGTCGCTTGTAAACTAATAAATCTTTTTTCTAATTCGTCATTTATTGACATCCATTTGTTTTAATTGTTTATTTATTTTATTTATTTATTTCTTCACATCATCGATCGACGTCATTCTTATAAAATTCTAGAGATAAAAAATTTCAGTCAAATAAAAGATTATTTAACATGCAAACAATAAAATGTGTTGTAGTTGGCGATGGTGCTGTCGGTATGAATATGAAATAATCTATAATTTTGTATAGTTTTTATTTTCTTCTAATAGGAAAAACATGTTTATTAATTAGTTATACAACGAATAAATTCCCAAGTGAATATGTTCCAACTGTAAGTATATCATTCTTTTGAACTATCAAATTTAATTATATTATTTAGGTATTTGATAATTATGCGGTAACAGTTATGATTGGGGGTGAACCTTATACATTGGGTTTATTTGATACAGCAGGTAAGATTAATTCAATTAAAAAAAAAATTTTTTTTTATTTGATATTTTTATTTAAAAAAAATAGGTCAAGAAGATTATGATCGTCTTCGTCCATTGAGCTATCCGCAAACAGATGTTTTTCTCGTCTGCTTTAGTGTTGTATCACCATCATCATTTGAGAATGTTCGCGAAAAAGTAAGAAACTATGAAATTATTAGTTTTTTTAATTTAATCGAATTTTATAAATATATAGTGGGTACCAGAAATTTCACATCATTGTGCTAAAACACCATTTTTACTTGTTGGTACTCAAGTTGATCTTCGTGAAGATCCAAATACCATGGAAAAATTACAAAAATCACGTCAAAAACCAACATCACATGAACAAGGAGATAAATTAGCACGAGAACTTAAAGCTGTTAAATATGTTGAATGCAGTGCATTAACACAAGTATGAAAATAGATTTTATTTCATTAAATATTTGCAAATTTAATTTATTTTTATAGAAAGGTTTAAAGAATGTATTCGATGAAGCAATTTTAGCCGCACTTGAACCACCAAAAAAATTGAAAAAATCAACTTGTGAACTTTTATAAACAAAAACAAAACAAAAAACAAACGCGTCTTCTTCTTCTTTTTTTTCATATTCTAATCTTTAATTAAACATTTTTTCTATTATCTATTAGTCGTATGTTTTTCTTTTATGTCTAAGTATTATATATATACATATATGTATGTGTTGTATGAAGAAAAAAAAATCATTGTTTCATTTCATTTAAGAATCTATTATCCTCTATAGATTTCGATGTCTTTACTGTTAAATAATCTCAGCTCGTACTATGTGTGCTCCATTATATATGTCATTTTTATAATAATCTGTATAACAATATATATGTATGTAATTTTTTCGTTCACACTTTTCTTTTTTTTTCAACTTTAATAATATAATGATTATAAAAAAAAGAAAAAGATGAAAATGTTTTTTTATGAAGAATTAACCATTTGTTGGTGCACGAACAATTTTATTGTTATCATCAACAAATAATCGGACACGATCGAGACGATAATCACGTGTACATGGTGATCCATCTTCTTTGATTTCAACATTAAAACCTTCAGCTTTTAATTGACTTTCGACTTCGTTGGCATCTTTACCAACAAATTCAGGCCAAGTTTTTCTTTCGTTCGACATGTTTATATTCTATAATGAATAGAAAATGAAGTGTACTTATGGTATATATATATTATCTTACCTATTTTGTTTTCTGTCTGTTGCAAAATAATGTATATGTGTGAGGAATACAGATAGTGTCTCCGCCTATTTATATTCCTCTGAGTCGCATTAATACAAGAGACACTCATCGGATTGTGGGTGTTTTTTTTTTCTATTTTTTTTCAATCAAGGTCTGTATACATTGTAATCTCGGTAACATAAAAGTCAATATGTAATATGACACAGAAGGTTTGATGAATAACATTCAAGTATATTGTGAATAATAAAAATTTATTTTCGAGAATAATCTTCAGAGGTGCAGAATCTTCCTCATGCGCCCCCGCGCGGGGGGGGAAATTTTTTAAAAACTGCATTTTTTGGGGAAATTTTTGAAAATTCTGGGGAATTTTTGAAGATTTACCTTGGGGAAAATTTTTCAAAAATTTCCCCGGGGGGGGAAATTTTTTTTTTTCGGGAAGATTCTGCACCTCTGATAATCTTATAGGTAAATGTAGAATAGAGCAAGAATTTACGAGTTCGACCTGTATGTTTTATGATACATACATAGAAGCAATTAGTATGAATAACTTTATGAAAATATTTGTTGAGAGAGATTCTAGTTATTCATCATTTTCGTATTACTATTACAAACAGGTGTTGGAAAACTTTAATCTTTAAAGGTCGAAGTTTGAAATATCTTTTGTTTTGTCAAACTTTAATCAATCAATCCTAGAAGGATTATGACTCATTTTACATAGATAACAATCAATGTGATATCATCTGATATTTATGAATCATGATGACATACTATTTGATTATGATTAACTTATCACCAGGTGCAGCACGTGACTTTTGTTTTATTTAACTTTCAGTTTTCTTTTTATGAAATTTTATTTTGTCGAACAAAAATTGTGTTAATTTTAATTTAGAGAGAAGAGTTTATTATTTGATCACTTTAAGTTGTCGACCAACTTGAGCAAATGCATCAATACATCGTTTCAGATCAGCTTTTGAATGGGCAGCTGATACTTGTACACGAATACGAGCACGATCCTTAGGTACCTATAGAGAGAGAAAAAATTAAGTTGTTTTAGTTGTCGAATAAAATTACCACAGGGAAACTGAATCCAATAACATAAATATCTCGTTTAAGCATTTCATCTGCAAATTGACTTGCTAATCGAGCATCACCAAGCATTACTGGACAGATTGGATGTGCATCACCTAAGATCTTTATAAAAAAAAGTAATAAAACAAAATTTTGTAAGAAAATAGAATAAATACTTTAAAACCCAATGCTTGCATTTCTTCACGAAAATATTTCGCATTTTCGAGTACACGACCAGGTAAACTTGTATCACTTTCAATTAAATCAATAGCTTTCATAGCACTACCCACAATAGCACTAGAAAATTAAAAATTAAAATAAATTTTTATGAATTAATTCTATTTTTTTAATATATATATATACGAACGGAGGAAGTGTATTGGAGAAAAGATAGGGTCTTGAACGTTGTCTTAAAAGATCAATAAGAGCTTTTGGTCCTGTTGTATATCCACCAGCTGCTCCACCAAGTGCTTTACCTAATGTTGAATTAATAATATCAATTTGTCCAGTCATTCCAAAATGTTCTTCTGTACCACGACCTGTAGGACCAAAAAATCTTTTTAAAGAAAAAAAAAAATATTTTTTAATATTTTTCTTAAAATATATTATTACCCAGTAGCATGACATTCATCAACAAAAACTAATGCTTTATATTTATCTGCTAAACGTTTAATATCAGGTAATGGTGCGATTGTTCCATCCATTGAAAATACGCCATCGGTAGCAATTAATCGAATAGCATTTTCATCTTTTCCCTTTAAACTTTCTTGTAATTTTGCTTCAAGATCAGACATATCTTTATGTTTATAACGTAATCGTTTAGCTTTACATAAACGAATACCATCAATAATTGATGCATGATTTAATTCATCCTAAATTAAATGAATAATTCATATTCGATCAATTAAAATATCGATTTTTCAACTTACGCTAATAATATAATCGTGTTCTTTAAGTAATGTTTCAAAAATTCCTGCATTCGCATCAAAACAAGATATATAAAGTATAGCATCTTCTCGTTGATGAAATTTTGCAATGCGTTGTTCAACTAAATATTCAAAATAAAAAATTCATATTTTTGTTTTTTTTAATTTACGTTGTTTATGAATGGTTTGTGTACCACAAATGAATCGTACAGAACTTAGACCAGATCCATATTCGTCAAGAGCATTCTTAGATGCTGCAATAATTTCACTATTATTTGCTAAACCCAAATAATTATTTGCACAAAAATTTAAAAGTTTATTTGGTGATCGTTCGACTTTAATATGTGCACTTTGACTAGTAGAAATAACTCGTTCATTTTTCCATGTGCCTGCTTGTCGAATAGATTCAAGTTCAGGATTTAGACGTTTTTCAATAACTTGTGTTAAAGTTGATAAACGACGAATTGATGGTTGTTGTGTAGAGACAAGAAAAAAACGTAAACTCGACATCTTCTACTTCGACTATTTTACTTTTGATTTTGTCCTGACAATTCGAACTGTTAAAGTAAAAGTGTTTATTTAACCCAAGGTATTTTTGTTTTTATTTTAAAAGAAAGAAAAACACAATGCATACAGTTTTCAGTTGCAATTATCAACTGAACAAAACGTAAAACAATCAAGGCTCTTAACACTTTTCACACATCCATTGTTCTTGTTTCCAATCATCTCTTTGATGGCTTCATATTCAGGTGTATCACTTGACATACAACCACGTTCAGTTCCAACCACACTTCCTACAACAAGATAATTCATTATTAAATTAAATCTTTTCTTTTTGTCACGAAAAGTACCTTTTCGATCAAACCATGAAAAACAATAATCATTATCATTCTC